AAAAAGCTAGCTTGAGAAATTCAGGTACAAAATGTGTTAAGCAGAAGTAGACAATGGTGCTTTTAAGAATAGCCTAGTAATCCTCCTCCTTGTGGTGCCGGCACACCGGGTTCTAGTCCCGGTCGGGGCGCCAGATTCTGTCCCGGTTGCCCCTCTTCCAGGCCAGCTGTCTGCTGTGGCCAGGGAGTGCAGTGGAGGATGGCCCAAGTGCTTGGGCCCTGCACCCCATGGGAGACCAGGAAAAGCACCTGGCTCCTGCTTTCAGATCAGCGCGCCGGCCGTGGCGGCCATTGGAGGGTGAACCAACAGCAAAGGAAGACCTTCTCTCTCTCTCTCTCTCTCTCTCTCTCACTGTCCACTCTGCCTGTCAAAAAAAAAAAAAAAAAAAAAAAAAAAAAAAAAAAGAATAGCCTAGATTTTACTCTGAATTTATCCACTTTAGAGCGTAGCAGTTCATTATAGGAGTCAGCAGAGTGCCAGCATTTGGAACACCCCAGTCATATTGAGTTTTGGGCAGCTACCAGTCCAGGAAATTTTCACTTGGGGCCTCATATGATTCGAGTGTCCTAACAGTGAGGCCAGGCGAGGGTGGGCTTTCAGTGGGGCAGGCCTGTGCTGGACGTGCAGCTCGGCCCCTGAACTGACTGTGAGCACTTGGACCCTCTAAGGCTTGGTTTCTTTGTCCATAAAATCAGAGAACTAGCACTTACTAACAGAGTTGTTGGGAGAAGTTTAAATACAAGATGCAAATTAAATAATTAGCACTGTGCTTAATATAGTATGTGGAGCTATTATTAGCATACTTTAAAATTAATTCTGCATGCATAGATAGATCTTTTTCTAGAATCTGATCAGAGTAGGGCTTAGGAGGATTGAGAAAACTGGCTGCAGTTCATAAAACTGAGAAAATTCAGCCTGCTTAAAGTCTAGAGTTAGGGTCCAGAGTCCAGAATCTCAGTCCTAAGTATGATCTCATCACTGATTTTATAGCCAGAGAAGAAAAAGCCACTTTAAATAAGGTCTTTGTTTGAAAAGCTCCAGGTCATCCTTTTGTATTCACTTCCATGTGCCATGCGATTAACCTGTCTGAGATGATATCTGTTATTTTATCGAGCCAAGAACTAGAAGGCCAGGGCCCAGATTGGCCAAACATGGGCCTATTATATAAAGCCACCTTGAACAAAAATCCTTCAATAATTTTAAAACATATAGAAGATAGCCTATTTAAGACAACTAAAAGAAGCACGAAAGATAAATGAAAACATAGAAAAGAGTAAGGTCTGATCTTAAAAGGAAAAAAGTTGTGAGTTGCACATTTAATGAAAGATAAAGTAGACATGTTAAAAAAAGTTAAAAAAATGTAAGGCAAATCTTACATGTTAAAGTGATCATTTAAAGTGTGTAACTGATCATATAGATAGGAATAAGTGTCAAAGGATCACATAAATAAGACCAAGTGTCTGGTAATAACAAAAGATAGAATTAAAAAGGAGAGAATGATCCAACATGGGAAGCAAGTCACACAGCATACTCATAGAATGACAAACACCCTAAACAGCACTCTGGCCTCAGAATCAGCCCTTATGGCATTCGGATTTGACTGAAAATCCTATGAGAGCATATCAGGCATGGGAAGCCAAGACACTGTGGCAAAAAGTGATCTACATGAAGGATCTCTGTGAGTGAGACCCCAGTGGAAAGAAGGGGCCATCAAAGAAGGAGGTACCTTTCTTTGAAGGAAGGAGAGAACTTCCACTTTGACTAGGGCCTTGTCTAAATAAGATCGGAGTTGGTGAACTCAAGAGGCTTCCATAGCCTTGGCAGCTCATGACAAGAGGCTCGGGTGATTACTGACATCATAAATAAGAGTGTCAGTTGTTAAATCTACAACAAGAGTCACTGTGCACTTGCTCCCCATGTAGGAACTCTGTCTTTAATGTGTTATACTATGAGAATTAATGGTAAAACTAGTCTTCAAACAGTACTTTATACTTTGTGTGTCTGTGTGGGTGAAACAGTTGAAATCTCTACTTAGTATAGAGTTGGTCTTCTGTATATCAAGCTAATTAAAAATGAATCTTAATAAAGAATAGCTTGGGAGAGGGAGTAGGAGGTGGGACGGTTTGGGGGTGGAGGGTGGGTATGGGGGAAAGAACCACTATATTCCTAAAGCTGTACCTATTACATTTTTATTTATTAAATAAAAGCTTTCCAAAAAAGTAAGGCAAGTACTCAAAGTAAAACAAAACAGTGACAATTAGAACAGAATACTAAAACAGGACAGAGCTGTAAAATTATAGAAGGCTTAAAAACAAGGCAGAAGTGAGTGCTAGGCCTAGCGGTGAAGATACCAGGATACCTGCATCCCACTTCGCAGTGCCTGAGTTTGATTCCCGCCCCCAGTTCCTGACTCCAGCTTCCTACTAGTTCCTGCTAATTCATGGGAGTCAGCAGTGATAGTTTAAATACTTGGGTCTCTACCACCCACCACAGGGGAGATGTGGATGGACTCCCTGGCTGCCCAGCCCCGCCTTTGCAGGCATCTGGGGAGTGAATCAGAGGATGGGAGCACACTCTCTCTCCTCAAGTAACCACATTAAAATTAAAAGGAAAAGTTCTTGGAAAAGTGGGAAAAGATAAGTTTATTTTTTTTAAAAAAGCCACAGTACACATATATCCTCCATAATGATAAAGATCAAACCTATCTGAAAGTAAGTGAGCCCGGGGCCAGCACTGTGGCATAGTGGGCTAAGCCTCTACCTGCAGCGCTGGCATCCCATATGGGTGCTGGTTCCAGTCCTGGCTGCTCCTCTTCCCATCCAACTTCCTGTTAATACGCCTGTGAAAGCAATGGAGGATGACCCAAGTGCTTGGGCCCCTGCACCCACATGGGAGACCCAGAGGTAGCTTCTGGCTCCTGGCTTTGGATAGGCCCAGCTCTGGCTGATGTGGCCATCTGGGGAGGGAACCAGTGGATGGAAGACCTTTCTTTCTGTCTCTCTCCCTGTTTGTCTATAACTCTACCTCTCAAATAAATAAATGAAATCTTTTAAAAAAGGAAAGTAAGTGAGCAGCACAACCTTGGAGCATGTCCCCCAGGTTGCTCCTTGGTGGGTGACGTTAGCACTGTGACCTGGGGCTTCTGTCCAGGTGCTGTGATCCTGGGCCACTCTCCACGTCCTTCCCCTGTGGGATTCCAGCCATTCCTCTCGGCAGCTGCAGCACCTCCTGTAGCTACTGGGGAGGAGGCTGCAGCTGGATGTGTGTCTTGCTGCACTAGCAGATGCAGGAGCTGGGACCCAGGGCCCACTCTAGTGCCCAAAGCCCAGCTCTTCTTCTTTGTCTTGTTCCGCCCTCCAGGGAACATCATTTCCTCGTCAACAGCAGGACCACCTAGCAGGTTAGGAGAGGTTTATCTTCTTGGCAACCAGCAGACCAGCCAAGTGCACTGGCTCCTGGTACCCCAGTAACCCACTGGCAATTACATATCTCTCTCTTCTCCCATTTAGTTTCATGTGTGCAAAGTTCATCCCCGTTATTTAAATATTTCCTAAATATTTCCTTGATATTTCTCTGTTTTCATGTTATTACTAAGTTCAGGCTACCATCTTGTCACTCTTTTTGCTAATTTCCTGAGGCTGCTATGTTGTATATTTGTATTTATTTATTTTCTTATTTATTTAACAGGCAGAGAGAGTGTTATTTTCCATCCATTGGTTCATTACCCAAATGACTAGAACAGCCAGAGCTGTGCCAGGCCAAAGCCAGGAGGCTAGGACTCTATCCAGATTCCCATGTGGGTGGCAGGGACCCAAGTCCCTGAGCCACTGCTGCCTCCCAGGGTGTGCATTATTAGCAGGAAGCTGGATCAAAGGCAGAGGAGACAGGACTTGAACCCAGGCTTTCCGGTATGACATGCAGGTATCCTAAATGATAGCTTAATGGCCTGCCAAACATTCCCCCCTACCCCATCCATCAGGTTCCTTTAAACAGATCCATTCATGTCTTGGTCAGCTGTGCCCCCAGGACTGTTCTGATTCCCTGATGTGGCCCAAATCGCGTCTCCCCCTTCTCCCCTTCCCTACTTTTCTCTGCCTCATTCTGTTGCACCCACACTCAACTTCCTACCAAAGGCGCCAGGTTTGCTCTCTCCTCTGGACCTCCATGCCCTCCTCTGCCGGAGCACTCCCCACCCTCTCCTTCTGTTTGGCTCCTGCTGCTTTTCTCCTTCTTTTCTGGATCTGGTCTTCATTCCCTCCAGGATGTGCCGGCCCCATGCTGGGTTGGGTTCATCCTCCTGTGAACTCCGTCTGAGCCCTCACCTGATGGACGCACGTTGCTCATTAGCACGTGTCCATCCTGTCCGTGGGAGGTGTCCCCAGCATCTGGGACAGTGCCTGACATGCCAGCCTTGCTGAATAAATGTTTTTTGCTGAGAATCCTGTAGGAAGGGAGCCTCTGCAGCCACTCTCCAAGAACTGCCCCGTAACGGTACGGATCCCTGCAGGAGTCTGCAGGAGAGGGGTCGCCTGTGAACACCAGAGGTTCCCACCCATTCTTAGTTTTTTAAAAAGATTTATTTATTTATTTGAAAGTCAGAGTTACACAGAGAGAAAAGGAGAGGTAGAGAGAGAGAGAGAGAGAGAGAGAGAAAGAGAGGTCTTCCATCTGCTGGTTCACTCCCCAGTTGGACACAACTGCTGGAGCTGTGCCAATCTGAAGCCAGGAGCTTCCTCCAGGTCTTCCCACATGAGTACAGGGGCCCAAGGACTTGGGCCATCTTCCACTGCTTTCCCAGGCCATAGCAGAGAGCTGGATTGGAAGTGGAGCAGCTGGGACTCGAACTGGCGCCCCTATGGGATGCTGGCACTGTGGGCGGCGGCTTTACCCACTACGCCACAGCACCGGCCCACCCATTCTTATGTTTAAGCATAAATCAAGAGCCATGGGGTGATGAGTGGGAGGAAGTATGTTCAGCTCACCCTTCTGTTTTCTTGCAGGCCATTGCTGTGTTTCTCATTTTGCATAATGCAGCTGCAGCGATCGTCTGGGGCTGCCAGACGTGTTTCTGGAAAGAGGTAACGGTCATGTGCAACCTTGCTTTCCCTTCGCTTGTTTTACGTCTTCAGAGAAGCCGCCTTCTTTTGATGGCCCGACCTAGAGTCTGCCTTTTCCTGCCACTGGCTTTGGCCCAAGGCTGCCTGGCAGTCATCACTCATTCCCAGGGGTGCAGTTTTGACGTTGTGTAAATGGGGATGCTGGTGGACGTGAGTGGGACTCGGCTCCAGGCCAGTGCTACACCAGACCCTCGGGAGGTCACACTTCTCGCTGTCCTCGTGTGAACCTGAACCAACCTCCCACTTCGCTAACATGAAACAACGTTATTTCTTGTCAGGGCAAATTAGGAAGCTATTGAGTGGGAAGTGTAGTTTTTAATCAGCCCTTTGGGGGCTGGCATTGTGCTGCAGTGGATTAAGCCGCTGCCTGTGCTGCTGGCATCACGTAAAGGCTCTGGAATCACAGCTGCTGCACTTCCAGTCCCCTCCCTGCTAATGCACCTGGGCAAGCTGCGGAAGACGGCTCAAGTCCTTGGGCCCCTGCACCCACGTGGGAGACCTAGAAGAAGCTCCTGGCTTCAGCCTGGCACAACCCTGGCTGTTGTGGCCATTTGGAGAGTGAAACAGTGGATGGAAGATCTCTCTCCCTCTGGCTCTCCATCTCTCCGTGTGTAATTCTTAAAAAAAGATAAGTAAACTAAAAAGACTGCTTTCTCTGCTTTATGAATGTAAGAAGATGTGAAGTGCAGGGGAAAAGCCTGGAAATGGTGTGCTCCTCCTTCCCCGGGAAACTGCTGTGTCCTTCCTGATTTTATTTCTGGGCATGCAGACAGATGTATTTACACGAATGGTGAAATGCACCCTGTTCTCATGAACACTGTCGGAGTCCTTATTCGTGCCATTGTTTCACATTGGATGAAGCAGAGTGTGACGGTCAGTGCCTACTCAGAGGTGTTACATGGCTTCCAGCATTTTAGTGGCAACATCTGCTCTGTGGTGGCAATGGCTTGGATGTGCTCTTTTTTTTTTTTTTTTAATACTATGATTCTTTTTAAGCTTTATTTATTTATCTGAAAGGCAGAATTAGAGAGAGAGATATGGGATGCTGGCATTGCAGATGGCCGCTTCACCTGCTGCGCCACAGCACCGGCCCCTTGATGTGGTCCTGATGCATGTGAGCTTCCTCTCGTCCAGCCAGGAGTCTTGCTGAGCTGACCGCACCCCCCTAAGGAACACAGGAGCTCACCACCTTACCCACTGTCCAGTGCTGCATGAGGCCTATTTTGTCCACTATGTGTACACTTTACTAGAATCAACTTTTATTTATGAGGCTTTTTTTTTTTTTTTTTTTACTTAAAAGGCAAAAAGACACCTTAAATGCTTGCCACAGCCAGGGTAGGGTCCTGCTGAAGCCGGAGCCAGGTACCCAATCTGGGTCTCCCTGTGGGTTGCAGAAACCCAATCGCTTGAGCCATCGTCTGTTGCCTCCCAAAGCGCACAGGTCAGGAAGGTGGAATCAGGAGTGGAGCTCGGAGTCGGGCACTCAGCTATGGGATTTGGAATTCCAGGCTTAACCATGGCACCTAATGCCTGCCTCTAGAATCTGTTTTGGAAAGTTGACTTCCTTCCTAGGTTATGAAAATAAGCTCTGTCTGAAGCCTGCAATTCATTGTCACCATCTACAGCTAGTTCTTTGTGTATGCATTCCCACATGCATGCAGTTTGTCTGCAAGGTAATCTGAGGCTCATAGAGTTAATTTTATTGCCTTGTGGATCTGTTGATCACAGCTGAATTTAAAAACGCTGCTCTTCATTGGTTCATTTGTCTGTGAACAGTTGTGATTATGTCCCACATGCCAAGTGTTTTGCTCGGCTCACAGCTGCAGAGACGTAGAGGACTCAGTACTCTGTGTAACCAGAGTCGAACAGAGGAGCTGGGGTCAGGCTGTGATTCCGGTAGAACATCAAGGGAGCCGGAGCAGAGGTGTGGGTGGAGCAGGAGTGCCCGCTAGCAAGTCTGCCGGGAAGGGGCAGGGACGGCGTCCCAGGGGCTGCATGTGAGCTGAGTCACACAGGCTGGGAGGAGAGTTTCCAGCTGGTTGAGGAGCAAGGGCACTCCAGGCAGGCAGAGGAAGCAGCAAGTGACGGTCAGTGGCTTACGGAGGCCCGGGGCAGATAGAGGTCACTGCAGGACAGGCAGGTGGGCTGTGGCAGAGAAAGGTCTAGTTTGGGTCCAGCACACCTGAAGCCAAACCATGTGACCTCAGTGCCTGGAATGCCCTTGTCTGTGATGTAGAACCCCTGGCTGTTAACTAGCCTGTGATCCTGGCTTATGGAGCAGCATTTGCCGCTGGCTTCCTCTCCGCTCTGTACTAAGAGCTGACTGTCCACCAGGGGGTGGTGCAGTCATGGTGGTGCAGAGTGCTGGAAGAGACTAGAGATGAAAGATAAGCAATAGGCACATCTTCAAAGCAGGGTGCTTCACAAATAGATCCTGTTTATGGAAACAGTGGTCAGTTGGTTATTTAGTAACAGCTGAAAACGTTTTTAAAAAATTTATTGATTTATTTGAGAGGCAGAGTTACAGACAGAAGGAGGGAGGGAGAGAGAGAGAGAGAGAGAGAGAGAGAGAGAGATATCTTCCATCTGCTGATTCACTTCCCACATGGCTGCAATGGCCAAAGCTGGGCTGATCTGAAGCTCTGGAGCCAGGAGCTTCTTCTGGGTTTCCCACGTGGGTGGCAGGGGCCCAGGGACTTGGGCCATCTTCTACTGCTTTCCCAGGCCATTAGCAGGGAGCTAGACCAAAAGTGGAACAGCCAGGGCTTGAACTGGAGCCCATATGGGATGGTGGTGCCATAGGCAGAGGCTTAACCCACTATACCACAGTGCTAACCCCTAGCAGATGAAACTTAAGATCACCTTGATAGCAAACCACATTGTTTCTCTTGTCAACTCTTTGCTTTTCAATAGAATGTGTATATGTCATATCTTATCTAAACTGGGTATATCAAATCTTGCACTTTGTCTTCGACTAGCAAAATAATCCTTCTGAAATGTTCAGAATTCTTCAGTCACCCTGCCTGTCCACTTCCTATATCAAATATAGAAAAAGCTGTGCTACTCCCGCCAGAACTTTCTTCCTCCATGTAGAGGACTGAGTCCCTGAAACTGATGGGATGGAGGGGATAGGGTATGGCTCAAATCAGTGTCTCATTCCAGGGCACGCCAGCTTCATACTCCCCTTCCAAGCTTCCTTCTTCCTTTTTGCTAGGAGTAGTGAAACATGTCCAATAGCCTTTCTTCCTTCCTTCCTCCCTGTTGAGGTGGATTCGTTCTGAGAGGAGGAGCATGGTGGGGGCAAGAGGTGCAGAGTCACCACACAGACCCTGGGAGTTGGGTGAAACCCGGCCAGAGGCGAGCAGCCTGCAGACTTATTCATTTCAGTTGGTACAGCAGCTTATATAGCCAAGGCAGCCAATACGGTCAAGGGGCGGTCTATGCCCTAACCAATCACAGCCTGTTGCCAGGCAGTTTCTGTTGCTAGCAGCTATCTTGGCATGGCCTTCTCATTCCACTATACCTCCCTTCCTCCCTTCCTTTTTCTTTTTTTCTTTCTTCTTCTTCCTTCTTCATCTTTGTCTTCCTCCTCCTCCGTTGTCATCTTCTTTTTAAGATTTACTTTATTTGACAGAATGACAGACAGATAGAAACAGAGATCCTCCACCCCCTGGTTCACTCTCCAAAGGAACACAATGGCTGGGGCTGGTCCAGGCTGATGCCAAGATCTGGGAAGTCCATCTGAGTCTCCCTCATGTGTCAGGGTCCCAGGCTCAGCTGCCTTCTCAGGCACATTAGCAGGTAGCTGGATTGGAAGTGGAGCACCTCAGGCTCAAACCAGGCAGGTGGCAGCCTTACCCGCTTGCTACAATGCCAGTGCAGTTTTTTCTCTTTCTTAATTTTTGCATCATACTAGGTAATTCATAGGACTGCTCAGATTTGGAGCTGAATGAATTAAAGGAATATTTAAAGAGACACATCTAGAATAGAAGTTGAACAAGAGCTTAATTTCTTTCCTTGTGTAGGTCACATCAGTTTCTTTCTCCCGTTTGCTTGGTGTGTAAAGGGCTTGAACACTTGGCCCAGTGTCGTTTGTTTTTGACGAGTAAATGCAGCTCTAATGGTAAAAGTGCTTTGCCGAAGTGACTCAGCTCTGGGACTGAGCCAGCCTTCATGTGTTCCAAGCTGAAAAAGCCTCAATAAATATGAAATTGCACCAAGCTGTTAAGCCCCCAATAAACATGCTTGTCATTCAGTTGCCTTTAAACTAAAAATTTTTTAAAGGGGGAAAAAAAGAGTTTTTGAAGACTAATTATGTGTCTCTGCTTTCACACAGAAAATACCTCCTCTAAAGATCTGCAGGTAAGTTAAAAAAAACTTGTAAAATGCGAGATTTAATTGGATATTGCTAAACCATTTGTTGATAAGTCATACTCTGGTTGCCAAAGAAGAATTTATGTTTGTATTATAAACACTTAAAATCCTATTTTGTGTCTTGTTTAAAATTTACTATCTCTCCTTTTTTTCTGCACTTTTTTTCTGCACCAACCCGGGCTAGATTTCAGCTGTTTGATGCCCAAATCTTCGCTAATAATTGTGCAATTCTGATGGAGAGTGAAAATAACCAACATGGGAGTGACTTAAAATTTGTAATATAACGCTCATAGTTCATTGGCACTTTGAGATTTTCCATGTGGAAAAAGCACTAGCCCGGAAGTTCTGGTATCCGAGTGATAGTCCTGGACTACAGCAGGATGACCACGGGGCAGGTCTCATACCCTTTGTGCCTCAGTTTCCTCGCAGGTCCATCCTCCTCAGCCCTAATTCTCCCTGGTCGCCTTGTTCTGTAACAGCCTCCTTCTTGCTCTGCAGTAGTTAAGAAGCTCAGTCCCGTAGACAGACAGCCAGCAGAGACACTCTGATGCATGGATTTCGGATTTTCGCTTCAGAGATTTCTGGGCTTTCAGCCAATCCTCTTCACTCCCCCCCCCCCCTTTATTTTGTCTTTATTGCAGGCTGCAGCTTGCAAGAAGAGCACATAAAACAAAAACACAGGACTCATCCTCTTGTTTATTTTATTTTATTGTTTAATTAATTTACTTATTTGAAAGAGAGAGATCTTCCATTTGCTGGTTTACTCCTCAGATGGCTGCAACAGTCAGGGCTTGTTGAAACCAGGAGGCAGAAGCTTCATCTGGTCTCCCACTTGGGTGGCAGGGGCCCAGGTACTTGGGCCATCCTTTGCTGCTTTCCCAGGCCATTAGCAGGGAGCTGGATGGGAGGCTAGGCGTCGCAGGTGGTGACTTTACCCGCTATGCCACAGCACCTGCCCTGTCCTCTTGTTTAAAAGGCAATTTAGCAGGTGTTCTAGAGAGGCGTAGTAGCTCACTAACACCTGATGGAGTTGGGTATTGCTTACAGCCGAGTGTGGCAGGAAGCAAGGCAGCTGTTTCACTGTCGCAGTCTCCTGCGTCCCTGAGGGGCCGTCTGTTTCAGGGGATCTCTGGGGCTCACTCTCTATGCATGGGGGAGCACCCCCTTCCCACTACAAGAAGACACCAAACCCAGTAGCGTCCTCTGCTCTTCCCCTCTTCTGTGTAATACCAGGAAGACCCCTGACCATCTCCCCTCCACACACACTGATATTGGCCTTGGGTTCTTCTCAAGGCCATTTGTGTGTGTGCCTCGACAGCGGGCGAGGAGAAGCTGCCTGAGCTCTGACTGTCCCAAGGCGGGCGTCCGCCTCCCAGGGTTCCTTGTGCCAGCTCTCCTGCCTGTGGCCCAGTGGCTGTGCTGATCTGGGTACCGTCTTGAACTCCATGTGGTCGTAGCAGTGAAGACTCCGGAGTAGCACTACTGTTGTCAGCGTGACTACATGTGGCAGGTTTGTGTATGTCACATATGTGTAGTATGTCTGTGTAGGTACATAAAGACACAGAATGAAGAATTCTGTATGTGGGGGGAATACGTAGTGATGTGAGAGGCCATGTGACCCAGGCCCCTAACAGTGGAAATGCCCTACTCAGTGCTTTTGTCCATGCCTCTGACCGTCTGTCCTCTGCTGCCTGATGGACCAGGCAGTAGTGAGGATCTTCACAAAGTTCACGGGAAAGGTGTGTTATGAAAAACTCTGCATGGGCTTCAGACCTTTTTGCACTGAAATAAACATGTAGTTCCATTTTTCTGCAGATTTTTTGAAGTACCTTCGTATGTTTTGTTGTATTTGTAAAATGGAGAGAGAGAAAAGACTAAGAGACAGTTTGGGTTTTCTGGTGCCTTCATTTAGGAGGAGAGAATGATTGAGGAAATCTAGAGACAAGGTCTTTTGGAATAGGAAATGCAAGAGAGGAACTAAAAAGCAGTGATTACTGAACCAGCTCCAAGTCAATTTACTGATTAATGTAGATCGCTTTCTGAAACTACCTGTGATTGGCAATGTTAATTTGGTTTTGCAAGACTTTTTTTTTTTTAAACTTTTATTTAATGAATATAAATTTCCAAAGTACGGCTTATGGATTACAATGGCTTCCCCCCCCATATCGTCTCTCCCACCCGCATCCCTCCCCTTTCCCACTCCCTCTCCCCTTCCATTCACATGAGGATTCATTTTCGATTCTCTTTATATACAGAAGATCAGTTTAACATACATTAAGTAAAGATTTCAACAGTTTGCTCCCACACAGAAACATAAAGTGAAAAATAATAGATGATTTTTTAAATGATGATGAAATCAGATCAGACCTATTGTCATGTTTAATCCCAGTGAGAGTCAAGTTGGGAATTGATAATTTCTTTTTTTTTTTTTACAGAGGATCAGTTTAGTATGCATTAAGTAAGGATTTCAACAGTTTGCACCCCCATAGAAACACAAAGTGAAATATATTGTTTGAGTACTCGTTATAGCATTAAATCTCAATGCACAGCACATTAAGGATAGAGATCCTACATGAGGAGTAAGTGCACAGTGACTCCTGTTGTTGACTTTACCAATTGACACTCCTGTCTATGGCATCAGTAGTCTCCCTATGCTCCAGTCATGAGTTTCCAAGGCTGTGGAAGCCCTCTGAGTTCTCCGACTCTTATCTTGTTTAGACAAGGTCATATTCAAAGTGGAGGTTCTCTCTTTCCTTCAGAGAAAGGTACCTCCTTCTTTGATGACCTGTTCTTTCCACTGGGATCTCACTCGCAGAGATCTTTTGCCAGAGTGTCTTGGCTTTCCATGCCTGAAATACTCTCATGGGCTTTTCAGCCAGATCTGAATGCCTTTAGGGCTGATTCTGAGGCCAGAGTGCTATTTAGGACATCTGCCATTCTATGAGTCTGCTGAGTATCTCACTTCCCATGTTGGATCACTCTCCCCTTTATTTACTCCATCGGTTAGCGTTAGCAGGTACTAGACTTGTCTATGTGCTCCCTTTGACTCCCAGTCCCTCCACCATGACCAACTGTGAACTGAAATTGATCACCTGGAACAGTGAGATGGCATTGGTACATGCCACCTCGATGGGATTGAATTGGAATCCCCTGGTATGCTTCCAACTCCACCACTTGGGGCAAGTCAGCCTGAGCATGTCCCAAATTATACATCTCTTCCCTCTCCCATTCCCACTCCCATGTTCAACAGGGATCACATTTCAGTTAATTTTCAACACTTAAGAATAACTGTGCATCAATTACAGAACTAAACCAGTCATATTAAGTAGAACAGACAAAAAAACTACTAAGAGGGATAATGTATTAAGTTGTTCATTAACAGTCAGGGCTATGCTGATCAAGCCACCGTTTCCCATAGTGTCCACCTCACTCCAACAGGTTAAATGTGTTTTTTTTGGTGGAAATCTCAAAATAAACAGAAAAGTAGATGGAAGAATGTAATGAAGCCCCATCTCCCATATTCCAGTGTTGTTTGAAAGCAAGGCTCAGGCACCATCCCATCTCCTCTGTAGAAATTTCAGTATGTAGAAGAGATGATGCTGGCCGGCGCCGTGGCTCACGAGGCTAATCCTCCACCTATGGCGCCGGCATCCCGGGTTCTAGTCCTGGTTGGGGCACTGGATACTAGTCCCGGTGGCTCCTCTTCCAGTCCAGCTCTCTGCTGTGGCCCGGGAGGGCAGTGGAGGATGGCCCAAGTGCTTGGGCCCTGCACCTGCATGGGAGACGGGGAGGAAGCACCCAGCTCCTGGCTTCGGATTGGCTCAGTGCTGGCCATAGTGGCCATTAGGAGAGTGAACCAATGGAAGGAAGACCTTTCTGTCTGTCTCTCTCTCACTGTCTATAACTCTACCTGTCAAATAAAAAAAAAAAAAAGATGATGCTAATTATACTTTTTTTAAATCTGAGAAAAAATTTGTACCTATAGAAAAATTTTAAGAATTAAAATTACAATGGCTGCTATACTGTTGACTAGATCCACCCCCTGATAACATTTCTGCATTGGCTTTCTTGTTCACTCCATATGTGTGTATATGTATAAACATACATAAATAGCATACAACATACATAAGAAAAGCCAGTTGGTCTTCCATATCCCTGGGTTCTCCACCCACAGATTCAATGAACTGAGGATCAAAAATATTTGAGGAAAAAATTGCGTCTGTACTGAACTGCCTTTTAAACTGACTTATTTTTTTCATTTTATCTCTTAAATAATTTAATAACTTTTTACATAGCAGTTGCCTTGTATTGGGTATCTAGAGATAATTTAAAGTGTAAGGAGAATGTGTGTAGGTTATGCGCAACTACTACACCATTTTCTTTATATAAGGGACTTGAGCATCTGTGGATTTTGGTATCTGTGAGGGGTCTCAGATCCATTGCCCTGTAGTAATGGAGGGAAGGCTCATATTTATTATTAGTCTTACTCTTATTCTTTATGTATCATTTTAGAATAAATTGCAGATCTTGACCCTACCCCTGAATGCTTCCAAGTCTGTTTCCTAAAAACAATCTTGTATAGAAACACAGTGCAATGATTACATTTAGAAGATTAACATCTGATATAATACTTTTATCAAACATTGAGCCCCTGGTCAAGTTTTGCCAGTTACCCTAACACTGCCCCGCTTTTCCTTCTAAAGTGTCCATGTTTCTTCATTAGCCTTTCATCTAGAAGAGTTCTTTGGTCTTTCATTTCTTTCACTGCATTCACATTTGTGGAGGGCAGAGGTGCATAGTTTTATGGGCTGTCCCTAAATTTGGTTGTGTCTCAGCATTCTCTCATGATTCAATTCAGGTTCCACATGTTGGCAGGAGGAGCACACGAGTGAGTGGCATTGTGTCCTTCGGAGTGCACCATAGCAGGAGGCACATGATTCGTTCTGTCCCATGACTGGAGATAGGAAGCTTGAAGGTGGGGCTCAGGAGGTGTACAAAGGGTTTAGTGCACATTCCAGGGCATCATTTTTGTAACTGGCATCCTAGTGGTCTGATGACCTGTTTTCCACTCGTGCATTTTTGGGGATCAGGGGTTGAAATGAAAACAGTCTGATTTTACTAGATGTCTCATAGACTGTGGATCTCAGGTGAGCCAATCGTGCTTCTCACGTGATCCCTGACTGGGAAATGTCTGGTTGTCAGCGATGCACACATGATGAAAAGCATGCAGGGAGTGGGGTTCTCAAGAGGATGAACGGAGGAACTGGGTTGGTCTCGTGAGGTCTTTGCACTTCAGCCTCCACACGCTCTGGGAAATGATTTGATGCTGAACGGTAAAGCCGCCGTGTTTTATCTCCCTCTCCACAGTGCCCTCTTCCTCCTGGCTGCCGCGGGATGCCTTCCCTTCAATGATGCCCAGGTAGGTCTAGGTGAGCTCATTTTGCCTCCAAAGTGTCTTTCACTCTGCAGGTACAGGCAGAATTTCCTCGCCCTTCCTTTTAGAATCAGGACAGCCTGGTCTCTGCAGTCATTCCGAAGCATTCAGGCTGGCGCCTTTCGGCCTGCCCAACTTCTTTGTCCCAGATCTTCGCCTTCTGCCCAAGGCTGCAGCGTCGTGGCCTGTGAGCCCTGCCCTCTGCATGTGTTGCAGGGCACCCTCAGTTCACACAGGCATCCCTTGGTGCATGACTGCTGACATGCAAACCGGTCCCACAGCAACTCCAGCCTTGGACATGGAGACAAAGCTGATGTTTCCTCTCCTCCCAATGGCCTCCTCTTCTGCGGAGGGGTTTTCACTTCGTTATCCTCTGCTGAAGCTGGGATTCCTTTTATTTTTAACTTATTTATTTGTTTGTTTGTTTATTTATTTATTTAATAGTGGGAGTAGAGGTGTAGATCTCCTGTCTGCTGGTTCACTCTCGAAATGCCCACAATATTTAGGGATGGGCCAGGCTGAAATCACTAACCTGGAACTCAATCCAGTTGTCCCAAGCAGGTGGCAGGGACCCAACTCCTTGAACCACCACCACCTGCTGCCTCGCAGGGTGAGCATTAGCAGGAAATTGGTATCCGGAGTGGAGCTGAGACTTGAACCCTGGCTGCTCTGTCCTGGAACGTGGGCATCTTAACTGCTGTGCCAAATAGTTGCTCCTGGGTTCTCCTTATGAGGCTCTGAGGACCCCACCCCTGGAGGAGTCATCTCGTTGCTAGGTTTCTTTCCTTTCTTTTTCACTCCCCTCCTCCTTTGTTTTTTAAGATTTATTTTGAAAGGCAGAGTTACAGGGAGAAGGGAGAGGGAGAGAGAGAGAAAGAGAGATGTTCCATCTGCTGGTTCACTCCCCAAATGACCACAATGGGCACAGCTGGGCCAATCTGAAGCCAGGAGCCAGGAGCCTCATCCGGGTCTCTCATGTAGGGGCAGGGGTTCAAGTACTTGGGCCATCTTCTACTCCTTTCCTAGGCACATTAGCAGGGAGCTGGATCCAAGTGGAGCAGCCAAGACTTGAGCCGGTGCCCATTTGGGATGCTGACATCTCAGGGCGCGGCTTTATCCACTATGCCACAGTGCCGGCACCCACTCCCTATTTTTCCTCCCCAGCATTATTAAGTCCCCTCTAAGTGTCAGGCACTAAGCCAGGCTCTGGGGACACAAAGATCCGTCTTTGTCTAGGCAGAAGTCAGAGTCTGGGCGGAGCGAGGGGGAGGAGAACAGAAGTCAACAGAGTCTTTGGCTCAGGGGCCAGGGCCCCTCGGAAGAGTTGGAGAGTCCACAAGTAGGAGCAGCTGACGGGTATTGGGAGCCTGCGGTGGGCCGGGCTCTGTGCTGCTGTGTTCTGTGTCGTGTTTCATTGAAAATCTCAAGGCACTTCTGTAAGGGTCGGGATTGTTATTTATCTCCATTTCATAGCTAGAAAATAATGGGGCCCGAAAGAGCACCAGCTAACAAATGAGTGGGGATTTGGGAATTCAACCCAGATCCTTCTGATGCTGGAGCAAGGCTCTGCTTACCGCACGGCACCTAAATGTGGAGGAAAGGGGAGGAGTTAGCCAGGAGAAGAAAGCAGACAGAGCGAACAAAGCCCTGGAGTACTAGTACTGCAGGGTTCAGTGTTAGTGAGCACCTCCTCTGTGCCTACCCCTGATCTAATCCCTGCCCGCCAGAGCTCACCGTGGAGGGAGGGTGGAGATAGAGACAGATGATCAGAGAGTGAAGAAACTGGTGTGTGCCAGGCGCTGGTGAGTCGCGTGGAGAATGACAAGGAAGGGAGGCAGAGGAGGGGCCCCTCGGCTGAGCTGTGGGGGGGGGGCACTCGTGCTTGTGAAAGGTAAGTCATCCCTGTTCTCCAGGGGTGGGAGCTGTGATGCAGTGGGAGGGGCTGGGAGAGGGGCTTGTCGGAGAGGTCCTTGGGTGTCCTGAGCTGGGAACTGAACCCAGTCTGACGGTGCGTGGGGAGTGAGGTGCTGGAGGCCGACAGGCTCCGTGGGGAGATGTGGGCCGCTGGGCGAGAGGCCAGGCGGCCGGCAGGGGAGCCCTCGCTTAGCACAGTGTGGTGATGACTGAGAGTTCTGTCGTCTGTACAGAGAGCCATTGTTTTCTCTTTTAAATCCTGTCTTACAGTTTGATCCGGATGGATATTTCTGGGCTGTAATTCATTTACTCTGCGTCGGTAAGTGTTAAAACAATGTTTGCTTCACTCTGTATTATTTAGACCTTATTGTATATTCACTTTTTAGTGACCCAGGACAAATAGGGAAAATTAAATCCAAGGTGTCAAGGTTCAAATTTAACGGGCATTTGCAGGGTTTTTTTAAACATGGGTTTTCTCAACTGTTTTTATTACCAATCTGGTTTCCTTTTTTTCTGTGACAAACACGAACTGACTCTGGTTCAAGTTTTGCTTGCTGCGGTCTGCTGCTTGAATGCCGGTTGTTTTGGGTCCTCTCCCCTAAAAATGGGGGCAGGCCAGCCAGAAGTTCCTATCAAAAGCCCGTTCAGTAGCATCTCACACACACACACACACACACACACACACGAACTGGTGAAATGGAAGGGCCATCTGATTGTACTTCAATCCCACGTTCGGTGTTTCTTGTCAGTCTTTGCGGGAGGAAGCAGTGGCCCGCTGTGTGTACACGGTGGACAGTGTTGGAAATCCAGGCGTTTCTTTCTGACGGATGTCGTGTGAGGGAAAGGCAACTTTCCTGTCAGCCGGGCCTGTAGTGGCCACGGAGCCTTCCCCGCCCAGCTCCACGGCCACCCGAATGACCGACGAGCTCCCCGAGTCTCCGCCCACTCCTGCCCGCTGGTGGAAAGAGGCCCTTCCCCATGCGGGTGTTGGGCTTCCCTGGACGCGCAGGAAGCTCCTTAGCAGCCAGCCAGCCTAGTGACTACGTCACTTCCTTTTCAGGGGCCTATCAAATGGTGCGGCAGACCCGGAAGTCCAGCGCCCTAAGGTAAACGCGTCTTGTCTGGGGGGTTTGTTTGGTTAGAGGGAGGGCCGCGTTAGGAGAGTTTTCCTCCAGCCAGAGATGCTGTAGGAGCGCCCTGTGTTTTCAGTTGATATAAATGGCCGCCCAAGAAGCCAGTCCAGTGGCCTGAGAACTTCCACTTTGACTAGGGCCTTGTCTAAATGTCAGAGTTTGTGGGCTCGAGGATTCCATAGTCTTGGCAGCTCATGTCAAGAGCCTTGGGTGATTACTGACATCGTAAATAAGTTAAATCAACAAGAGTCACTGTGCACTTGTTCCCCATGTAGGACCTCTGTCCTTAATGAGTTGTACTATGAGAATTAATGGTAAAATTAATCTTCAAACAGTACTTTATACTTTGTGTGTCTGTGTGGGTGCTAACTGTTGAAATCTTTACTTAGTATAGAGTTGATCTTCTATATATAAAATAATTGAAAGTGAATCAATGAAAAATGGGATGGGAGAGGGAGTAGGAGGTGGGACGGTTATGGGGGGAAGAACTGCTATAATCCAAAAATTGTACCTATGAAATTCATATTTATTAAATAAAAGCTTTCTAAAAAACACAGTTGGTCCAGATTTGGGGTATAAAGTGCTCTTCCTCTGTTTATCGATAATTCACAATAGTAGTGAATGATATGGAGATAGAATTTATTGATAGAGAATAGTGACAATTTTATGTATGTAAAATACTTCCGTTATTTCACGTTTTCTCTTTTTTTTTTCCTCTCTTATTCCTTAGTGACATTGACCAGCAGTATTTAAACTATATATTCAGGTAAAATTATAATTTAATACATGATTTAATAAAAATATGATTTTCAAGAAATAATTCATATCCTTCTAGAGCTAATGGATTTTTATGTTTCAATAATGGTTTGATTAAGGAATTCTGTGCCAATATACCTATCAGGTATCAAACCAAGTTGAATAATTTATGAGATGGCCAGCATTGAGGAAACTAAATGGTAGTCTCGCCCTTAGATCAGACAAAGAGGGGCCTCTGTGCAGCCCTGAATTCCAGAGGGTCCCACTTCTCCCACCAGGGACATAGCATCTGGGAGCTAAGGGGAAGTTCCTCCCAGGGCCCACACCCTCACCCTCGCTTCTAGACTGTACCCTAGAAACCCAATCCAAGAGGCCATGAGCATCATTCCCAGTCTCTCTAGCTCTGCTCTCCAAATTCGATCCTAGGGCCAAGGGGAGTCCAAAGAGACTCGTAGGGGACAGAGTGTAGGTGACCTTGCAGGCTGAGGTGTCCCCACACATGTGTGTGAAGCTCTCGGGGCACAGAAGGAGCCTGGATGGAAAGCAAAGTGGGCGCCTTGGAGCTGGAGGCTGCCCTGTGCTGCCAATTTCTGACATGAAGCTCTGGGGACTGCAAGGATTCTGGATTTCAAGTTTGTTTTGAAAGTATATTTTTAAGGACCACATTTGAGGCTTTGTTTATAACTTTTAAATAAGGTGAATGGACTTTGCTTTGTACCCTTGACCCAAGTGGAGCACAGCCTGGGGCTTGTTGGATTTTAGGAGTTTCCTGCTGTGTACCACAGGGACCTGATTGGGAAGCAAAGTGAGGCTTGGTGCTGGGAGCCCAGGTTGGCCTGGTGCCCGAGGGCAGAGATGAGCTTCCCCCGAGGCTTGGTCTTGCTGACCTCTGGAGGAAGTTACTTGGCATGAATGTTCAGTGTGAGCTGAATTCTCTATATGCAGATGAAGCTCATAAATATCTTAATATTGCCTAAAGTGCCTTTTGGAAAGCAAGATCCACCCCAAGCATGGCTGTGGGCCACTCCTGTACTCAGCTGAAAGCAGGCATTAGTTCCACTCTGCCCACAAGCACCAGTTACCTTTCAAGATACTCTTCTGGAAATGTGGAAGTCTCTTGGTATTTAAAATGTCTCCATGACACTGAACCACGTTAGAAATACGAGAACATGCTCCCCACTGTTTCCCCCAGGGAGTTCTGCCCTCTCCCCTCCAGCCCAGCTTCCCAGGTGATGTGGGGACATTTATTGCCTGTAAGCCTGGTGCTCCAGCCTCCCAGTAGAGGCCAGGCACATCTTGGTAATGCCACAACCCTGTTTCCAGGTAATTTCTTCCAATGCAAGTGATGAAATGTTTGAATCAGAATGAGGGCCACCATCTGAGCTCCCATTGGCACTGACTGGTTGCAGAGAGAGTTAGCCTCCAGGGTCCTGTAATTCACATGATTTCTGGGTTGTCCCTGTGTGTGCCAGCCTGGAGCACAGCCAGCCAGAGCAACGAATTGGTTTAAACTCTGAATATTATGTGAGAGGAAAATAGTTGGATTCTTTACCTCGGGTATACCCTGTTCCAGTGAGGGTGTATTTGCTTCCTGACCCTTTTTAAAGAAAGATTAATTTATTTGAAAGGCAGGAAGGGGGAGAGAAAGAGATAGGGGAGATAGATAAAGAGAGAGAGAGAGAGAGAGAGAGAGAGAGAGAGAGAGAGAGATAGGGACCCTTCATTAGCTGGTTCACTTCCCAAATAGCTTTAATAGCTAGGCCTGGGCCAGGCTGAAGCCTGGAGCCAGGAACTCCATACTCCATACTCCATCCAAGTCTTCTATGTGGGTGGTAGGAACTCAAGTACTTGGGCTATCACCTGCTGCTTCCCAGAGGAACCAGTAGGGAGCTGGATCAGAAGCAGAGCAGCCATATTCTTATTGGCACTCTGACATGGGGTGCAGGCATCCCAAGCAGTGGCCCAACCCCATATACCATTATGCCACCCCCAAACCCAGATTTTTAAATGTTTCTAATATAGATTAAGGTGTAGGGTACAAGGTAGGGGGAAGGGATGAAGGTTAAGAGGAAAGGAGAAGATCATATATGGGGCTGAGAATAAGTGGAATTTCTAAACACAGGTATGGCTTTGATCTGCACTTTGGGAATTAGGTGACCTATAAGGAGTAGCTATTGGGATGTAGTTATAGAGCCATCTGTCTTTATTCTCAGGCAAACTCTAGTCTCTCCCAGTCTGTTAACTAGAATGTCACCATGACGTTCGTTACCTGTTCATGCTGCACCCACTCAGTTGGCAGACGAGACTGTGTGTGTGTCAAGGGAAATAGGCACTCCATGTTGGAGTGCATGAGTTTGAGTCCCAGCTGCACTCTCTGTCCAGCTTCTTACTGATGAGCACCCTGATGGCAATGGGTGTTGATGGCCCAGGTGGTTGGGTCTGTACTACTCAAATGAAAGAACTGGATTGGGTTTCTGGTTCCCAGCAGATGGGAGGTTTCTCTGCCTGCCTGTCTGCTTCTCCCTTGCTTTCTCTCTCTAATAGAAAGTTATTTTTTTTAAAAAGAAATTAAGTTTATTTTGATGCAGAATATCCAAAATCTGTTCATAATAGGGTTCTTCGAAAAATCCCTGGAAAAATGCGTATTATGAAAAAACTATGTGTAGATTTCAATGATTTTGCACCAAATAAGTTTTTTCTTAAATTCAGTTTCCATAAACTTTAAAAAAATATGCTTATATTAGTATACTTTCCTCAACAGAGTTTACCTGTAGATTATAATCTGACAACTATGGGGTGCTTTAAGGTGTATTTTTCTTCAAACATGGTCCCATCACAGATACCCCAAGAGGTGTATGTCTGCCACTGCTGGGTACTTGGAATCCAGATAAAAATACCATCTGATTCTTGTCTCCAAGGAGGCCACAGCGTAGGAATTAGGGGGAGAGGTTTAAAGCTACACAGTCCTGTGGTGTGTAGCAGTGCTTTCATCCACAGTGGACTGCCTCTATGACAGTGGGCCCATAGGAGTGTCTCCTATCCTCTCATGATGCCATGACTATCTCAGTTCGTATATTACACTCTGCAATGTCTGCACAAATTTTTAACAGCAGTTTTCTCAGACCGTATCCTGTCATTAAGCAACACATGGCTGTTTGTGAGATTCAGACAGGGACTAGAGAGCCAGTTCTTTAATTATTTCTTCTGATTTCTACCCCCTAATATTTTACTTTGGGGTCACTGTTTGGAGTGATTCTGATGATGGAATTTGGGATATGATGACAGGCCCTGGGAGATATTTTGGGATAGAAAGACACCCCCTCATATCCTGATGTAGGGAGAATAACTTTTGCTTCTGAAGTTATAACCAAAAGGGAAATCCAGGGAGATAAAGTAATGGAATCTGTACAAGGCATGTGCTTTCCAAAGAGAGACAAGATAGCAAGCAAAGACTTAAAGCCTGTGCCAAGGAGTAGTCACTGCAAAATCTTCAGTCTCATGTGAGTGTGTGTATTTTATTTTCGAGCTGCATGTAAACCCTACAGCTTCTGAGTGCTGGACATGGGGCTCTTCTCTATCGCCTTTCTCCTGGCCCTCCTCCCGACCTCTGTCTACACCCCTCCGAGGGCTGTTGGAGACCTTGTGCCTTGGGAGCGAGGCAAAGGAAGAACCTGAGAAAAGTAGCTGTGGGCCAGGGAGGTAACCCCAGGAGCAGGGCGGTGCTGAGTGGACAGTGACTTCCCTGCTCAGGACTGTCTTCATGCTACCCAATGCCACCACCTATTGAAGAGTCTATGTTGTGTTCTCACACATGAAATTTCCACACAGAACAACTGTCTGCACCCTACCCTCGGAGATTCTGATTCATGTCACTGTGCTGGGCTATTCCGTTGTAGGTCCTCAGCACTTAAAAAAAAAAAAAAAAGCGAAACCTCTCTATATTTAAGTAGCAAATCTTATTCCTGAGCTCTGGCTAGATCAGCCTTCTGGATGGCATGGAGCTATGATAGAAAAGGGTACAGAAAGCAGCGGGTGGGGTGGGGAGGGGGTGGCCTTTCACAGTGAGCTTTGGGTAGCCCATATGCATGGTAGAGGGGCACTGGGAGATGAGAGAGGTTTCCAGAAAGGGAGAGGGGAGGGTGCCAGGGTGGAATGCCACTTTCATCAAAGGAACCTCCTTCTCCCTCTACCCCCCCCCCCCCCGCCACTTTGGCACTTGCTGAGAAGTAGCCCAAGTAGCCCAGGTGATGGTCAGCCACGTGGTAGGTAGATACTCGATTTGTGGGCTAGACTGTTGGGAATGTAACTCTCTCCTCCACAATTAATTTTGTGAAATAATATTCTTAGCTCCCATGAAGCAGCCCACTTTTACATTGCAGCCTACTTGTGACCTGGAGTTTGCTTTATTTAACTTACAAATAATCTTGGGAAATTACGTGAGAATGAGTAGAATTAGGGTAAGCCAAGGCCAAGAAAAGTGACCCAGCCAGCCCTGTAGTGGACCAAGGATTCTGACTGTCCCAAGAGTGGATTTGATCATCTTGGCAAACATCTTGGAAACTCTGAGAGTCTCAGAGTTGTTGGATTTCAGCAGAATGGGACCCATCAGTGTAGACAATTTGGTTTTAGGTTCATTCAGCTGTTTCCAAGGAGAATGGGTAGCAGTTTCGGTTATTTTTTGGTGACACAGAAGCTTTCTTAACTCCTGTGCTGTGTTTTTTTTTTTCAGTGTGGTGCTGTTGGCATTTGCGTCTCCCCCAACAGGTAAGTCTGCCTGAGCAGTCATTCTGTGTGTTTCGTATTGCCTGTTCAGCCCAGTGCACTGTCCCTGGCTATCTCTCTGAGAGACAGTTCATCAGAATTGCTTTCCTAAATGGCAAACTGAGAAGAAAGGAATAGCCTACATATTTGATCCTGCTCTTAATGACCCACAACAGATTTATTGCCAGGAGTTTCTTCTTATCCCCTCTTGAATTTGGTCATCTGCTTGCTCATCTCTATGGCCTCTGACACTCAGGGCTGTGCCCTGCTGAGTAGATTAGTGCTTGTTTTGCCTCTTCTAAAATTCCTTCTCCAAGCATCCAGAATCGTTCTTCAGTTGTAGTGCTAAAAGATTTGGTGGCAAAGTTTAAATTTACCCTACTTCTTGCTGACATCATTTTATAAATTATTATCGTATGCCACCATCTAACTTTCATAATTGCAGATTAAAGAAACCAACTTTTAAAACTTGAGCAGGCATTTGGCCAAGCCTTTAGTCTTTACAAAAATCCACTGCTTGGGATGCCCACATCCCATCGTGGAGTGCCAGGTTTGTCTACCAGCTCTCTTCTGATTCCAGTTTCTAGCTAATGTACACTGTGAGAGGCAGCAGGTGATGGCGCAGGTACTTTGGTCCCTGCCACCCAGTAGGAGATCTGGAATGGGTTCCAGACTTCCAGCTTTGTCCTGGCCCACCCCAGTGATTGCGGCATTCACTGGGGGAGTGAACCAGGGGGTGGGAGCTTTCTCTCTGTGTCTGTCTCTATTTCTCTGCCTTTCAAATAATTACAAATAAATAAATAAATAAATGTTATTTTTAAAAAAGAACACTTACCCTCCCCTTGTTGCCGCCCTCACTCTGTAGTTGCTTTTCAGATTCAAAATTACCCACGAGACTGTCTTCCATCATGCCTTTTCGCTTTGAAAGGCTTTAAGGTTGTATTAGTTCTTTGTTGTTAGTAACCCAATATCACAGACTGGATAAGTTTTTAAAAAGGAGGCTTATCTTTGCTTATGGGTCTGATCCAAGGTTGAGGGGCTGCATCTAATGATGGCTTTCGCATGGGCAGAGTCCTCAGGTGGCCCAAGGTGTCACATGGCAAGAGACAGGGAACCCACATGTCTTTTGTGCCTGTTCTGGTCTCTTTCCCTCTTTGTACAAAACTACCAGGATTCAGTGACCTTGTCTAATCACCTAATCACCTCCCTGAGACCCCACTTATAAATATCATAGTCGGGTTCAATTTCCACCATCTTCATACCACACAGTGAGGATTGGGTTTGAACATAGGGTTTTGGTGGGGATCAACTACACTCAAACCATCGCAGAAGTCAGGGATGAAGCAATAGTACCTGACTATGGCATGGCTGAAAAGGCACATTTCAGTGGTCATGCTCCTTGTGGTGTGCTGAATGCAGTGGGAGATCACTGACTCAGAGGACTGGAGCTCCTTGGCTCCCTTACCCAGTGACCTTAAGACTTTTAAGAATGACATTCTTGGGGGCCAGTGCCGTGGTGCAGTAGGTTAATCCTCCACCTGCAGCGCCGTCATCCCATATGGGCGCCAGTTCTAGTCCTGGCTGTTCCTCTTCCCATCCAGCTCTCTGCTGTGGCCTGGGAAGGCAGTGGAGGATGGCTCAAGTCCTTGGGCCCCTGCACCCGCGAGGGAGACTCGGGGTAGGGCATCTGGTTCCTGGCTTCAGATCAGCGCAGCTCCAGCTGTTGCAGCCATTTGGGGAGTGAACCAACGGAGGGAGGACCTTTCTCTCTGTCTCTCCCTCTCACTGTCTGTAACTCTACCTCTCAAATAAATAAAATCTTTTTTAAAAAAATAATAGCATTCTTAAAGGACTAACATCTTCTGACTACTTGTTAGGCACCAAGCATGCCCAAACCTTCAGGGTCTCAGTTTTGTCATCTACAAAATGAGGAAGGTGAGCTGGGTTCTTTCTGAAGCACCTTCCAGCTCTCATCCTGTGCTGCAAACAATGACATCTTTCTCTTGGTGTTTTTGGTCACTTCAGATTATTTGAGCAGATATCCTTAGAAACTGTTGGTAGTGACCAGGGAATAATGCTTTCTCTTCTATATGGCATATCTGAACTCATGTCTCATAATTTGAATCATTATTTTTTGGTTGTTATTAGGATTTTATTTATTTATTTGAAAGGCAGAAAGAGAGGGGGGGGGAGAGAGAGAGAGAGAGAGAGAGAGAGAGAGATCGTCTATCTGCTGGTTCTCTTCTCAAATGTCCTCAATAGTCAGAGCTGGGCTGTGTTGAGATCAGAGACCAGGAATTCCATCATAGTCTCCCACATGGGTGGCAGGGACTGAAGCACTCAGACCGTCTTTTGCTGCCTTCTCAGGGGCATTAGCAGGAAGCAGGATTGGAAGCTGAGCAGTCAGGACTTGAACCAGCACTCTAATATGGGGTGCCAGTGTTGCAAGCCGTGGCTTAACCACACACTGATCTCAGTCACTTTTTGTTAATGCATTGCTCTCTACTTGCCCACACTGAAGCCCACTAACTATTGCCTGCCCAATCCCATAGCCTGGTGACATCTGAAAACTCTAAGATTGACTAATGAATGTCTTCTCCACTGTCTGGATTGGTCAGTGTTTTGTCACTATAACAGAATACCTGGGGCAGCCTGATTTCATAAGGAAAAACGTTCATTTTGACTCACCATTTTGAGTCCAAGATCAGATGGCCCAGTTGGTTTGGCCTCCAACAGGGTGGTGGATGGCAAAGGTGGAGCCCTACAGAGGATCACACGTGGTGAGGCCATGTCTAACCCAGGCTTTCATACGAGCCTCTGGTGAGAACTCCCCAAGGGTACACCCTCAGTGACCTCAGGACATCCACCACATAAGTAAGTTTCCACCTCTCAGTGCCAACAACCTGGGACTTTGGAGTTAAAGTCTTCTATGAGGTCAAGAGCCAGTCCACGCCATTGTTGAAAACCTGTCCTTTGGAGTAGAAGAACGGCTGCAAAGCCAAGCTGTTGGCCCCAGACACTTCCGCTTGCCGTGTTGCTTCTGTCCTGCTGCCAGGTCATGCCTCTTGTCACTCCTGCACGTAGCCTGGTGCTTGTCACCACGCAGGTATTTAAGAGCCTGTAATTGCCATCCCACTCTGAAATGCACTTTTGTCAAAGGCCTTTGGAATGTTCTGTCCGCTGGTTCTCCTTGGTTTATGTATTTATTTACTTCCTGCATTGTTCACAGGGGACTTTCCACCTAAAGAAATCTCTTGGTCTTTCAGCTAAGAGGTTTTTCTGTCTGTCTGTTACACTCATCCTGGGTGCCACTGAATTCTATGAGTGAGGAAGTTCAAGGCCAGAGGTGTCTACTGCTGTGTGTCAGAGGACAGAGCAGGTGGGAAACAGGCAGAGACTGAAGTTCAGCTGTCTGACCCTGCAGTTATCCTTTTTCAGTTATCCTACACCATATAATAAAATCTTCTGAGCAAGTGAATACTTGTGTGTGGCAATTCTGGGTTTCTTTCTGGAGCTTTTCTTGGGCTCAGAGATGTTTTATTTTTACTGATTTCTGAGGCATGGTGGCTATTGGTAGTATATACATTTTGGCCAGTGGCCAGCATTTTACTTGGAGTTGTTGCTAAACTTTTGGGTCAATGCAAAAATATCTTGGGCACTAAGTATACTCTCTGATAACACAAAGTGGTCAGCAGCCCAAGACTGTACAATGGCCTGGGCAAAAGGGTGATTTAAAATAGGCTTCTGTTTCTTTTTGAGATAATGAAAGTGTTCTAGAATTAGATAGTGGTGCTCATTGCATAGTTCTGTGAATATGTTAAAAACCACTGAAGTGTACACTTAAAATGGGTGAATTTTATAGTATGCAGATTTTTATCTCAGTAAGAAAATATTTGGGGAGGAAAAAGAAAAGAAATGGCTCTGATATGAGAACCTGTTTGGAGCTTACTTATGCCGGAACAGGATACTTGCCAGGATTAATTTCCCTTCAAATTATATCTTGAAAAGGGTAGGCATTTGGCCTGGCAGTTAAGACACTGGTTAAGATGTTCATGTTCCCTATTGAAATGCATGGGCTCAAGTCCCAGCTACAGCTCCCAGTTCCAGCTTCCTACTAACACAGACCCTAGGAGGCAGTGGTGATGGCTCAAGTAATTGGGTCCCTGCCACCTATGTGGAAGACTTGGATTGATTCCTGGCTCCTGGCTTTTGGCCTGGCACAGCCTTGGCCATTGCAGAACATTTGGGGAATGAACCAGTGGATGAGAGCTCTTGCCTTGTGTTTCTCTGTCTCTCAAATAAAATAATAATAATAAAAAGAATTGCCATCAGATGCTCCCCCAACCCCTCCTCCTTCCTTCACCTGCAGGCTTCCGTGCCATTGCAGGATAAATGGTCAAGAAGGATGGGTCGGTGCTGGGCAGCCCAGGGAGCTGCAGAGCCTGCAGATTCATCAGAGAGCGCCTTGGTGCACTTCTCTGGAAGGAATCCTCTCTGCAACTTTGATCTGTTGCAATTTCCTGCCAGCTGAGGTGGTGTCACTGAAGAGGCCAGGGATAGAAAGGTGGGCCTCTGAGGACTTTTTCTGGGCCAGTGACACTGGCCTTGCCTCTCATATCAGTAGCACAGGTGGCTTTGGCTTTGGCCTCCCTTATTGTAAGTAGCTGAAGTTCCCCAGTGAAAAGATGCCCCAAAGCTCTAGGGCTTGGAAGTCCAGCAGGCCTTGGTAGCCATTGCAACAGCACTCCTGTAAAGGCCCTGGGGAAGATGGGAATGGGGTTATGTACAGATTGGAGGCAGCCTCCAATCCTTTCATGCACACCAGTGCAAAGTCCATCAGCCAGCTTGTGGGAACACATGGAGACACCCTAGAACCACGCCCTTCTTCCATGTGTATGAAGTTATGTAAAGGCATGCTCTGCTTACAAAGGAGTTCTGTGTGTGATAAACTGGACCATGTTTATTGCTTTCTTGGAACTTTCAGAAACTGTGCATCAAGGTGCCTTAGAGATGTGTGTGTGTGGGGGGAAACTTCTCCTTTCAATTCCTATCACTGGAATGCCATGGACTTAAAGCTTTGGTAGCCAGAAGAGCCTGTGTGGGTGTTTTTCCCCCTAAAGGCTTATTTATTTACTTGAAAGGCAGAGTTACAGAAAGAGAGGGAGAGAGAGAGAAAGAGAGCAAGCGAGCGAGAGAGCTTCCATCTTCTGGTTCACTCCCCAAATGGCCACAGGGGCTGGGGATGGGCCAGCTTGACTTTTTTCTTTTTTCTTTTCTTTTCTTTTCTTTTCTTTTCTTTTCTTTTCTTTTCTTTTCTTTTCTTTTCTTTTCTTTTCTTTTCTTTTCTTTTATGACAGGAAGAGTTAGACAGTGAGAAAGAGAAAGACAGAGAGAAAGAGAAAGAGAGAAAGGTCTTCCTTCCGTTGGTTTACCCCCTAAATGGCTGCCACAGCCGGCACACTGTGCCGATCTGAAGCCAGGAGCCAGGTGCTTCCTCCTGGTCTCCCATGCAGGTGCAAGGCCCAAGGACTTGGGCCATCCTCCACTGCCTTCCCGGGCCACAGCAGAGAGCTGGACTGGAAGAGGAGCAACCGGTACAGAATCCAGCGCCCCAACTGGGACTAGAACCCGGGGTGCCGGCACCGCAGGCGGAGGATTATCCTAGTAAGCCGAGGTGCCGGCCAGCTTGACATTTCTTCTACGTCTCCCACGTGGGTGGCAGGGACACAGCACTTGGACCATCTTCCACTGCTTTCCCAGGCACATAAACAGGGAACTGGATCAGAAATAGACTACCTGGGTCTTGGACTGGTGTTCATACGGGATCCAGAGTTGCAGGCTGTGGCTGACTCATTGCACCACTACTCCGGCCTCCTGGTGCAGGTTTTGATCACCTGTCACTGCCAGCTGAGGTCACCTCAGGGCCTGCGTGTACAGTCATGGTCCATGGAAACAGTACCCTGCCCCCAGCATCTGTAAGCTTCAGAGAGCACTCAGGAATAGTCAAGTGCTTTTATCTGTTTGTTAGAGCAGATAACAAAGGCAGTAGATGTTAAATCAGAATTTGGTATTCAAGGCAATGGAAGTGCAAAATCTAGAAGACCTGTTGGTTGATTGCCCCACTCTGATGGGTCCTGCAGCTGTTTGCTCCTAGTAGTTTTCAGTTGATTACAAAGGCTCAGCAAGCAGAACAGTGAGAAAGATCTCTCTCTTCCAGAACTATTGAAAGCCTAGTCTTATTGGGTGTTTCTGTTCCTGCCAGTTTGCTTGCCTTCTGGTTGGGCCCAATGGTTCTTTCTAGTTTGCTTTCTACACTTTACATCTGGAATCTCCGCTGTGGAGCCTGAGTTCCATTTTCCTGATTCTCTCCTGCTTTAGTGAAGACACAGTGAGAGTCAGGATTCATAGATATAGGCTTTTTGGGGACGGATTGGTGAATATTTTCTGACATTTTAAAGCAAGTCTTGGTTCCTTTTGGTTTCTTCTTATCCCTTCTATTGCTACTTTGTCTAATTATTTGGTATTACTTTAAAAACATTTTAAAATTGAAATTCATTTTTATATATGAAAATCACATATCTTAAATGTACAGCTTGATGCATTTTGGCAAGTAACACACTTAAGTAACTCACACCCCTGTTGAAATATGAAACATTTCTGTCCCTACAGAGAGTTTGCTCCTGCCGCTTCTCAGTCATTTTCTCTCCCTTAGCATACTTGCTGTCACTGACTTCATTTCTGTTACCAGAGATTAGTTCTGTCTCTTCTATAGCCTCATGTAAGTGGAGTCTACAGTAAACACTGTTTTATGTCTGGCTCTTCCTTTAGAGATTAAACATATTGTGTGTATCACAGGTTTGCTCCCTTTTGTTGGTGACTGATGTTCGGTTGAATGAGCTACTTTTTGTTTATGCAGCCACCTGTTGCTTTCATCTGGTCTGCTCCCTGTCTGTAGCTGTTACCAGCGACCAAAGCTGCCTTGAGTATTCTTATTCAAGGCTCTCTGTGGACTTACATGTTCATGTTCTTGGATGAACACCTAGGAGTAGGAGGTCTGGGTTTTAGAGTAGATATATATCTATCTCCCTAAGAGAGTACCAGTGCTCCCAAGTGTTTGTACCTCTGTACACTTGTGCCCAGCATTGTGTGAGAATTCTGGTTGTTCCCCATGCTTACCGACATGTGATATTGTGAGTCTTAGCTGAGATGGTCTAGTGGGTGAGTCAGGGTCTCTAGATAGGAGTTCTCACTGGGATTTCCCTCCTCATGCACCGTGAGTGACCAGAGGTTGGGCTTTCTTGTAGATGCACCGTTGGGGTATGCTGGGCAGTGGTGGTAGGGACGAGGGAGTCAGGTCCCCATGTCCCAGTACAGGCCCTGCTGCTGGGCTTGCTTCTTGGTAGGTGGAATCCACCTTCCTTCCTCTCCAGCCTTTCGATCTCATGATTCACATAGAGGCTCCAAGAACCATGGGACCTGGCTTGAGAAGAGCCCTGCCTTTCCCCTTGGACTGCTGCAAGCAGCAGAGGAGAGGAGAAATCTCCGTATCTGTACGGGGGCTCCTGTGCTGTGATACACAAGACTTGGAGGTAGGGGAGGAGGAGAGTATTTTAAGGAACCAGAGGAGCAGGGGGATCCACAGGAATCTGACTCCGAAATGACCTTGTTACCTGGTGTGTCTGTTGCACCTGTGCGAGCTCACAGCACCGAGGACAACTTGGAACTGACCTCCCATTTCTCTGCCAGTTCTGAGTGCTAAAGTAGGGCAAGAGGACATTTCCTTCATGTTCAAATCTCAATTAGTCTCAAGTGTGGTAATTTCGTGCCACACTCTCATTGTGGCAATTTCATGCTCTGTAATTGGCAGAGAAGTGAGATTTTCTCTCTTACTCACAGCAGCAGAATTTTAACAGTGGAAGAGCAGTGAAGGCTCAACTCAGGCTTCGTTGTATAAGCTTCATGCTACTGCCACAAAGCACGTTTACTAGTCCTTAGCCGCTCAGTTTGGGCCTAAATTGTGCTTTTCTGCACTAGGATGGTACATAAGTGCTGGCTTTTTTTGGCTTCTTAGTTGAATTCTCTTGAGTTAGACCTGGCCGACTGCTCATTATACTTCCTTTGGGGTGTTCGTCACGTGCTTTGCTAAGTTCAAGGTTGCTGTGCACCCTCTCTGAATGAAAGAGAAGAAAAGTGGAAGGCGTCAGAGCACTTTGAGTCAACCTGAAATCGAAGACCCTGCAGCCCTATTTGGAACATTCTGCCCAGGGAAAGAGAGAAATGTTTAGGTCTTTCCAAGACTCTCATTTTAGTGGTGCTTGCTCTATGTCGGGGATGGACACAGGGATGAGTAAGAGAGAGCCCCCACTCCCAGGGATTGGATTATTCTAGAAGGAGGGACAGGCATGAAGTCCACTAAGTGCTGTAGGAGAAATGTGTGAAGATTGTAGAAATGGCTCGAGGATGGGATACGCCATTTTTGTCTCCATTCTCTGTCTCAAGAGATCAGGTTTGGGACTGAGTGCCTGTTTTCTAGCTGGCAAGTTCCCTAGGCCTGTGACTTTTCCCTTTATTTTCTTCCTTCCTGGTCTACCTCTGAGCATTCCTCTATACCTTAGACCCTCTCTGAAGCCTGGGCCGAGCTGTAAAAGTAGCTGGTGACCCACGGATCTAGTCCACCCCGGGAGTGTTGCAGATGCACGGCGGGTGCTGAGACGGCTAACCCAGGGCTCTGAGGTCCTGGGGTCAGTTGATCGCCTCTCTGCCTTTCCTCATTCTCACACTGACTGTACTGGGAAGGAAATTTGACAGGGGCCAAGAACCAACAGCTGCCAAGCAACAGAAAAAAGGCTGCTGGACGTCCCCTCCACTGGCCTGGGCAAGGGACTTGGGCTGTTCCCGAGGTCCAGGGTCCCCAGGATTACCTCGGCTGTCACGTCTTCAGGGAAAGGGACTTCAGGGCACATCCAGGCTTCTCGTGCTCCACAAGTCTGAGCCTGCTGCTGTGGTTTGCAAGTCCCTGTCACCCACAAACATCCCCAGGGGACAGTAGAGCTGTTCAGTGGAATCGGGGCAGAAAGACAGGAACTTTAAGATAAAAAAATTATTTATCTATTTGAAAGGCATAGAGACAAAGAGACATCTACTCCCATCCGCTAGTTCACTCCCCAAATGCCTTCAACAGCCAGGGCTGGGCCAACCAAAAGCCAGAGTCTGGGAACTTAATCTGGGTCTCCCATATGAGTGGCAGGGACCCAACCACTAGAGCCATCACCTGCTGCCTTTGAGGGTGGGCAGTAACAGGAAGCTGGAGTCAGGAGTTGAGATGGGACTCGACCCCAGGCAGTCTAGGATGGAATGCAAGCGACCCCAGTGGTGTCTTTAACTGCTACACCAAATGGCTGCCCTGAGAACAAGAACTCTTAACCTCTTGCTGGGCTGCATGGAAACCAAATCCCAAGAAACTCTCTCCCTTTTGTTAAATACATGAACTTATTTCTCCCCCACCCCTAACCCATGCTCGGAAAATAACCCCAGCCAAACATAAATGGAGTCACAATGAGAAGCAATACTCCCGAGAAATGGAATTGAGAACTTGCCCTCCCAACGGATGCGTGACTCACTTGAGATCCTTTAGGTCTCTGAGGAAGCAGGGAGGCCCATTGTGCCTGCTGTGCTGGAACGGCCGATTGACGGCTGTGGTGGTAAAGGACGCGCTGCCCACCTGGTACGCTGCCCACCTAACACGCTGCCGGTATTTAGGGTCGGCTGGCTTCCCCCTCCACTCAGAACAGAGGAACAGCCCTGAGCCCGCCAGAGTCGGAGAGATTCCAGATTCGGAAGGATTAAGCTATCTGCTGTGGAAATGCTTAATTCCTTTCCTTGGGACATTTTTGGAAGGCTGTCTGCTTTTTTAATCTCCTGACTTCTTGTTTGTGACCAAGTTCAAATTCCAGAGAGGGAAGTGGCCAATATGTGTGATTATTTTCTGTTGTGCCAAGTGGAACTAAAAGAATGAACTTGCTTCACGAGAAAGAAATGTACCCTTTGGACCTTGACCTAAAATGAGTGTGCACAGTTGGGCTGGCCACCGCACGGCGGCTGCAGCCATCAGACATGGAAATGAAGCAAGATGTCAGGGAGTGAATAAATAATCTTTTTTTAGATGAAAAGCAGAAAAAAAGAGAAGACTCTTTAAAGAGATTTTTTTTCCCCTACACTCCCCCTTGTGCAGAGAAGGCGGTCTGGCAAAGCAGAAGACATGCTGGCGCCACATTCTTGATGTGCTGTGATCTTAAAAATGTCTCTTACCTTCTGTGACTTACAGTTAAGTGGCCTCCTGCCACCCCTGTGGGAAATCCTGATTGAGATTCTGGCTCCTGGCTTAAGCCCGGCCCAGTCCCAGCCATTTTGAGCTTTTGAGGAGTGAATTAGCAGATGGAAGCTAGCCTCTCTCCCTCTATCTCCCTCTCTCACCCTCTCTCTCTCTAGAGCCCTCCCTCCCTCCCACTTAGATAAATAAATTTTTACAATCTTTTAAATTATTTATCTATTTGAAAGGGAGAGACAGAGAGAGAGTCTTTCATCCATTGGTTCCATCCCCACATGCTCACAACAGCCAGGGCTGGGTCAAGTCAAAGGAACCAGGGGCTAGCACTGTGGTGTAGTAGGCTGACTGTCCTTTTGACACACCAGTATCCCTTATGGATGCCAGTTGGAGTCTTGGCTGCTCCACTTCCAGTCCAGCTCTCTGATATGGCCTGGGAAAGCAGCAAAAGATGGCCCAAGTACTTGGGCCCCTGCACCCATGTGGGAGACCTGGAAGAAACTCCTGGCTTCTGGCTTCAGATCGGCCCAGCTCTGGCTGTTGCAGCCAATTGGGGAGTGAACCTCTCTGTCTGTCTCACCCTCTCTCTCTGTAACTCTGCCTATCAAGTAAATAAATAAATCTTTAAAAAAAAATGGAAAAGAATCAGGAACTCAATCCAGGTCTTGCACATGGGTGGCAGGGATCCAACTACTTGAGCCATCACCTGCTTCCTCCTTGGGCGCACATTAGTAGGAATAAACTGGGATTTGAACCCCAGGACTCCAGTGTGGGATGCACACCCCTAAAATTTTTGTTTTTTCTTTTTCTTTCTTTCAAAGATTTATTTATTTATTTATTTGAAAGGTAGAGTTACAGAGAGGCAGAGAGCAAGAGAGAGAGAAAGAGAGAGAGAGAGAGGTTTTCCATCCACTGGTTCACTCCCCAGATGACTGCAACAGCAGGAGCTGCACTGATCTGAAGCCAGGAGCCAGGAGTTTCTTCCAGGTGTCCCATGGGGGTGCAGGGGCCCAAGGACTTGGGCCATCCTCCACTGCTTTCCCAGACCATAGCAGAGAGCTGGATCAGAAGTAGAGTAGCCAGGACTCGAACCAGCACCCATACAGGATGCCAGCACTGCAAACAGTGGCTTTACCCACTTACACCACAGCTCCGGCCCCAACATTTTGTTTTTTAATGCAGATAATAGAAACTCACAGACTGAAAGAGATAATAAGTAAGGTTTTTAGTGTAGGGCCCTGCACAAGGCGCACTGATACAATATGGTCATATACCATAGTATAGGGAAATGCCAAGTACAGGAACACCAGCGTGAATTCAATGCTAGACCGCTTAACGCTTAATGTTAATGACCCTCACCTGCTTCTCCCAGGGCAGCTGGGGGCAGGAGGCCATTGTTTTCTCTACTGTACCCCTCAGGTGATCTCTCCAGCGTCCTGGACTTCCCATACCTGTATTTCTACCAATTCCATGGCAGCTGCTGTGCCAGGTAAGCTTGACCTCACTGGTGTGTGCGTGTCTTCATGTCTGTGGAGTGCAAGGTCACTGCCCGTGATCAGAATGTGGGGCAGAAGGGAGTGGTGGTAGGTGCGGCCCGGTGGGCTCGGTCCCCAGGAGGTTGTGCCAGAGCACCCACAGGCATTCGGGGCAGGCCTGGCACCGGTGAGGACCACAAAGCCACAGAAGTGCCCCGGCCCCGACAGTGGTTTTCAGACTTGCTCAAGACCTAGGCTTCCCTTCCTTTTTTCCCTCCACAGGCAAATCTTACACAGACCTTTATTGAACAGGTGAACCTGATTCAGTTCAGGGAAGACCTGAGCCCAGAATCTCAGCCTCTCAGCTTCCTCTTTGGCCTTCCACTAGCTCCCAAAGGCAGCCTCCAAACTGAACCCCAAAACTGTGAGAAGCAGATTGTGGAAACCAGCGACCCAGGATGTCTAAAAGACAAGGTGGCCGGGAAGGACCAGGATGTAGACCAGTGAGACGGCTGTGTCACATGTCAGTGGGCTCCCTGTCCCTCTCAGCCATGGTCTACCCTTGGGGTGGTTTCATTATGCTGAGCAGCGGAAAGGCATTCGGGGGCAGTGTCAAAGCTTGTTTTCTGGTGTGGCGGGAAAAACAGACCAGAATAGACTCTCAGGATTGCTGGCTGCTCGTTGTGCGGTCTTTGGGCTGGCTATTCAAGTTCTCACAAGCCTTTCTCATTTGTAAAACAGAAAAGTGATACCAACATGGGGCTATTGTGTGCATAAGTAAAATCCGTAACATTCGAAGCAGTGGCACCCATTGTTCAAACCTGCTCGGGTTCACTGCACAAGAACTGTCAAACCATGAGCGATTGCTACGTGAGAGACTGCTTGTTCCCACACGTGTAAAATGACGCCTTGGGAAGCAGTGATTCTTTTCAGAGTTGCAAGGCTGGAAGACAGCCGAGTACTGTTTCTGATGGGGGCCCGTCACGCCCCTCAGGTGTGTGAGGGTGAAGAAAGGCAAGGACATGGCAGAGCCTGTTTCCGCGTTTTATCACGCTCAGCAAGGCTTCAGGAAAACGCTGGCAGGATTCGTCTTCCCAGTCCGTGCCAAATTCGTGAGACCTGGCGGCTGGGTTCCACGGCGGGAGGCTTCATGCTGCTCCGTCAGAGGCCCGTGCGCCTGTTCCCGTGGAGGTGGCTGTTTGGCAGCAGGGGCGAGCAGGGTGCAGAGGGAGGCCAACAATCACTTGGTTATCTGGAGCAGAGCAGCACAGTCAGCCCACAGGCTGCCACGCTGGCGTTGGCTCTGTCCCTTTAAATCTGCAACTTTCTCAGCAGCCTACAGGACAAGTCAGGGTTCTTAAAGATCTGGAAATCTGTACTTGAATTGAATTAACTCCCTGTTAAAGTTTAGCCCCTGGCTCCAGCACAAAGCTTAACCTCTGTCCCACGTCTCAGGCTGAGAGGTGACACTTTAAGGAGCTCCTGGGGGGAGTTCAGAAGCGGCTATGGGGACCTGGGCTGGCAGTGGTAGCTGTGACCTGGAGACCCTGTTGACAGGCCCCTCACTTCTGGGTCTCCCCCTGCTTCTCAGATCCGTCTCCACAGCGAGGGGCAGAGGAGCTGAAGGTAGAAGCAGAAAGATAAGGAAGGGACCCGGAAGTAATTGAGCAATGGCTCTGAGACATGGGGAAGTTCTGGGTGTTTCCAGAACCACGTTGGGCATAGTCAGGGAGCAGCTCACCCTCGCCTGGAGCCTGCACTGAAGGCGCTGGTCCACGCCCTGCTCTGCTGGCAGAGAGGAGAGGAGACACCAGAGCAGGGAGGAGGTGTGGGGCAGGCACCTGTGATGTTGCTGCCTCCTTGGCTGTAAGGGGTGCAAACCACCAACAGAAGCCCAGAGCTCTGGCTGCCTCACTCTTCACTCCAGCCTCCCAGCCTCAGGCACCCTGAGCGTTCACCCGTCATGCAGCTGGCCAAGAACACATTTCCATGGCGAGGAGCTGTGGATTCTGATCTCACCTGTGCCTCGGTTTCCTTGTTCATTAAAGTGAGGCATGGGGTGGGCAGCCGTACTGTCCTGAATGTCTTTGGTTGCCATAGGACAGGGTGAGGTGTGCCGTGCATATTCCTAGTTTAAGAAACAGAACCCGAGGCAGGAGAAAGGGACAAGGGGGATTTGGTCAGGTTTACACGGCTCAGCGAGTGTAGCTAAGAATAGCACTTCAGGTCACATGGCCTGGCCGGCTTAGTCTGCTGCTTCCCCAACTGTGAGACTTGACGTCTTAATCCATGGCCATCTGGTCTCCCCTAACTGCAGATGAAAATCTGAATGAACTTTGCAGGCCATTGGGGCCAAGCCAGCTGAAATAGACACAGGGGAAACCTAATGCCTGTCCCTGGTCCTGCTCCAAGAATGTGGCCATCAGCTAATCTCATCTAACGATGTGGAGGTACACATTTCTGCCACATTTGGCCTTCTGTGTGCTTGATTTGATTCAGCCTGACGCTGGTGCAATACCTACCATGACTGAGGCCTCGTGTTCGGCTCAGTTGAGGACAATGCGAAGAGCAGCCCGGGACAGGCCATGCAGCAGTGCCTGTAGTAGGGGTCAGATTGCATTGTGGCACTGGAGGCCCTGTAGGTACCGATGAAGCACAGCCCGCGTGACCCGCCCCTCGGGCTTGGAGGACAGCCCCAGCCATATATCTTACTTTTCTGTTTTCAGTTAAGTCATTCTCAAGGCACCACCTGCACGTATTAAAGTTAGCCCCATATCTGTGTTTCTCTGCCTCACCTCCTCTCCACCTGTCCTGCTTCCAAATGCCAGGAAGAGTTGGGAGCTCCCATGTCTCTGGCCCTCACCTCTTGGTGACACTGAGAAATGGTTACCCCACCCACTGCTGTGCCCAAGGTCTTGCTGGTCCAGGCCCCCGAATAGCCCCAAGATCTGCCCCATCCCTAGGCTCCCGTGTGGAGGCATCTTTTCCCAAGCAGAGCATCTGTGGAAGGCAGCAGGCCTCAGCCTAAGTTCCTGGAGCTGGGTTTCCCCTTAAGATTCCCCCCTGAGCCCCCGGCCAGTCCAGACCCCCTCTGCTCATCTGGACAGTCTCCCTTTGCAAGTCTTTCCCCACTAGTTTGTTTTGCTTGAAAAAAACTACTGGAATCTCAACCTTGGCCAGCATCGAGCTCCAGATGTGATAGGGAAGCAGCAGGAGGTGGTGTTCTCTGCATTTTTTTTTTTTCATGATTTGGTCAGAGATCTCCCAGATTTCCACATCTCTTCCCTTCCTCCAACCAAATGCTCCCATCCTAGCTCCTTAACATTGTCTCTTTAATTTCTAGATATCACTAGAAAACACAGAGGAGGCAGAGTTTGTGTAGTCATTGGACAAGGCCTGGGAAGAGGAGCAGGGACTAGTTAGCTGCTGGTGGAAGGAAGGCAAGCCTCACTAACAGAAGAATGTTTTCTCCTTCCAGTGGAGTTTTAGGATTCTTTCTCATGTTAAGTACGGTGAAGCTAAGAAGCCTTCTGGCCCCAGGACAGTGTGCAGCCTGGATATTCTTTGCTAAGGTAAGAGAGAGGGTGGAGCTGAGGGCCTTGTATCCGGTGTTCTCAGAGCCTGGGCAGTGGCAAGTCGGATCCTCTAGTCACTGGCCCTCTGCCTGATCCTTCGTTCATGTAGGTCGCAGTTTCTGAGGCCTTCCCTCTGTGTTACCAGCATTATCATTTTTCTGGAATGACCATGAGCAGATCTCTTCACTTCCCTGAGCCTTAGTTCACCCATCTGAAAATGAGAGGTGTGCTAAAAAAATCTCTAAGCTTTTCCAGCTCCAAGAGACTGGGCTCCTAGATGCACAAGACAGTTCCAGTTTTCCTTGCGGGGGCGGTGGGGGTGTCCAGAGTTGAAGCGACTTGTCCCAAAGGACTCGGCCTGTCCAAGGTGGTGAAGGAAAACAGACAAATGGCCAGGGACCACTGGAAGGATGGCTGTTGTGTCTCTGGATGGCCATGATTGAAGCAAAAAGGGAAAACTACAAGGAAACAGGAGCAGAAGCATAGTTGTGGGTGCACAGTCTTAACTGCACTGCTCTGGGGCTGACTTCCTCTTGCTGCATTTCATTTCCCTAAAGCCTGTGGAGGACTCAGGCTGCTTCTGAGGAGTGGAATTTCTTAAACAATTTAATTTCATCAAATAATTATTTAAACTTGTGCCTTTAGTCTTCTTTATGTCATCTTTGGTTGATTTTTTTCCCCCAGGGTGAGGAACAGATGTATTTGTTTGAAAATAAGATTTCACAGTGATATCTTCAGTCACATGGTCTACTTTTTAACAGTGTTAGTAACTGGAATTCTAGAATGTAGAGAGTGGTTGACATAGTGAGGGGGCTGACAGACTGTCTTAGCAGAAAGTTTGGATAAGACTGGATAAAAGTGCAGGCACAGCAGGTTAAGCTGCCACTTGGGATGCCTACGTCCTACATGGGAGTACCTTGGATTGAATCCTGCAGCCACTTCTAATCCAGCTTCCTGCTGACGCACCTGAGAAGCAGCAGGCAATGGCTCTCGTACTTGGGTTCTTGCCTGGATGGAGTGCTAGGCTTCTGGCTTCAGCATGGCCCAACCTGACTGTTGTGAGCATTTGGAGCATTCTCTCTCCTTCTCCCTCTCCCCTCCCCCTCCCCCTCCCTCTCCCTCCCTCACTCCCTCTCTCACCCCCCCCCCCCATATCACTCTACCTTTCAAACAAATAAATAGAAAATGTTTTAAATACTGGAAAAAGATTATCAGAAACATTTATTTTACTCTCTTAGAATTGACCAAATGTATACAACAAGTTGAAAAAACATTTGTTCATGAAAATTACTAAACTTTTGGTAGGAACAGGTTGGATTTTTGGTGTTCTTGTCTATCATTGCTCCCAATCCCTGCTCCCCAACTCTGTCAGTGTTATAGTTAAACCAGGGCAGGGAAGGCTGTGAAAACCAGTTGCCTGTTGCTGCTTCTGGAAGGGATTCACTGTATTTGGAGCATTGTCTGTTAAATTGGCCAGCTGGGTGATAAGTGAATAGGAGAGATCAGGAGCTCTACTAGCTCAAGTTTATGGTCCTCTTGGAGCAAGCAATGGTGTAATGGTCTAGCTGGGGACTTAATAGCTAGTTCTGGGAGGTGCCATCAAGGTGTAATAACTCTCTGTATGTCCCAGACTGAACTTAGTCCGCGTGCCTGAGTAGCAGAGGGAGCAAGTCCAAGACCCCCACACATTCTGGGCCAGTGGAGCCTGTGTGTACACACAGAAGCAGAAGAGATGTGAGAGAGCCAGCAGAAAGCAAAAGCTGGGGCAGACATGAAAACAGCCTGAGGTTTGAATGTGCTGCTTAGCCCCCACACAGAATTAGAAGCAGAGAGAAGCAGCTTTTCTGGCCCAAGGTGTTTGAGAGAAACCTCAGATTAGCCTTTTCCAGAACACTAAGCTATGCAGATAGAGGGATGTTCCCTAGAAACCAGACCTAAAAATAAAAACCAGAAAAAAAATTGAGTAATGACATCAGCAACTGTACCCTATATAGGAGACAGGTTTCACAGGCTTAGTTTGGGAAAATTACTAAGTCAGCAAAACAATAATTCCTACTCTTGGAGAAAAGTCAGAATCTAGAGTTGCTACCATATATTGTCTAAAATGCCCAGAATTCAACAAAAAATTAGAGACATTTAGAGAAACAAAATGTGACTTATGTGCAGAAAAAAAGTAGACAATTTCTGAGTATCTTTAGATGTAAAATTTAGTTGAAAAAGACAGCAAAGAAGCTAGTTAAATATTTTCAGAGGTGAGAAAGAAGCCATGGTTATAGAACTAAAGGAAAGACTGAATGAATATAAAATCTCAGTCAAGACATTATTATTAAATGGAAGCTCTGGGTTTGAAAAGTACAGTAACAGAAATGAAAATTCTCTAGAGGGACTCAACACTATATTTTAGAAGTCAGAAGAAAGAATAAGTAAACTGGAAGACAGAGGAAAGGAAAACATTCAATCTGAAGAGTAAAGAATTTTTTAAACAATTTTATTTATTTGAATGGTAGAGGGAGAGGGGGAGAGAGAGAGAGAATCTTCCATCTGTTGGTTCATTCCCCAAATGTTCACAATGGCTGCAGCTGGGCCTATGCAAAGCCGGGAGCCAGGAGCTTATTCCAGGTCTCCCATGTGGGTGCAGGAGCCCAAGGACTTGGGCCATCTTCTACTGCTATCCCAGGCCATAGCAGAGAGCTGGATTGGAAGTGGAGCAGCTGGGACTCAAACTGGTGCCCATATGGGATGCTGGCACTGCAGGTGGTGGCTTTACCTCCTATGCCACAGCATCAGCCCCAAGATTTTTTAAAAAAGATTTTATTTATTTATTTGAGAGGTAGAACTACAGAGAGAAAGAGAGAGAGAGAGAGAGAGAGAGAGAGAGAGAGAAAGAGAAAGAGAAAGAGAAAGAGAAAGAGAAAGAGAAAGAAAGAGAAAGAGAAAGAGAAAGAGAAAGAGAAAGAGAATCTTCCATCGCTGGTCTACTCCCCAAATGGTCACAACAGCCAGAGCTGGCTTGATCTGAAGCCAGGAGCCAGAAGCTTTCTCCGGGTCTCCCTCACAGGTACAGGGACCCAAGCACTTGGGCCATCTTCTACTGTTTCCCTATACCATAGCAGAGAGCTGGATCAAAAGAAGAGCAGCTGGGACCAGAACCAGCACCCATATGGGATGCTGGCACCACAGGCAGAGGCTCAGCCCACCATGCCATAGCATCCACACCGTGGTAAAGACTTTTTAAAGATTGAAAAATATATGAACAGAGCTTCAGTGGCCTGTGGGACATCAAGCATGTCAGTATATGTGCAAGAAAAATCCAAAAAAGAGAGAAAGACAGTAAAAACATTTGAAAACAATGGCTGAGAACTTCCCACATTTGAAAAAGTGCCAACTTACAGAGCCAACAAGTTTGGTGAGTCCCAAGTAGGATGAACAAAAAGAAATTTGTAATTGACATATGATTGAATTATTGAAGGACAAAGAGAAAATATTGAAAAGCAAAGAAAAAAAGAAAAAATCTTTTTTTTCTTTTCCTAGCATTTTATTTTAGATCAGGTTTAAATTCACAAAACAAAAATTATAGAGTTGTACAGAGTGTTTCCATATACCCCAAACCCCAAATCTCCTATTGTTTCTATCTTTTTTTTTATTTTTTTATTTTTGTAAACTTTTATTTAATGAATATAAATTTCCAAAGTACAGCTTACGGATTACAATGTCTCCCCCCCCCATAACTTCCCTCCCACCCACAACCCTCCCCTTTCCCTCTCCCTCTCCCCTTCCATTCACATCAAGATTCATTTTCAATTCTCTTTATATACAGAAGATCAGTTTAGCATATATTAAGTAAAGATTTCAACAGTTTGCGCCCACATAGAAACACAAAGTGAAAAATACTGTTTGAGTACTAGTTATAGCATTAAATCACAATGTACCATACATTAAGGACAGAGATCCTACATGAGGAGTAAGTGCACAGTGACTCCTGTTGTTGACTTAACAATTCGACACTCTTGTTTATGGCATCAGTAATCACCCCAGGCTCTTGTCAGGAGTTGCCAAGGCTATGAAAGCCTTTTGAGTTCACCGACTCTGATCATATTTAGACAAGGTCATAGTCAAAGTAGAAGTTCTCTCCTCCCTTCAGAGAAAGGTACCTCCTTCTTTGATGACCCGTTCTTTCCACTGGGATCTCACTTGCGGAGAACTTTCATTTAGGTCATTTCATTTTTTTGCCAGAGTGTCTTGGCTTTCCATGCCTGAAATACTCTCATGGGCTTTTCAGCCAGATCCGCATGCCTTAAGGGCTGATTCTGAGGCCAGAGTGCTGTTTAGGACATCCACCATTCTATGAGTCTGCTGTGTATCTCGCTTCCCATGTTGGATCGTTCTCTCCATTTATTATTCTATCAGCTAGTATTTGCAGACACTAGTCTTGTTTATGTGATCCCTTTGACTCTTAGTCCTTTCATTATGATCAATTCTGAACTGAAATCGATCACTTGGACTAGTGAGATGGCATTGAATTGGAATCCCCTGGTGTGTTTCTAACTCTACCGTTTGGGGCAAGTCAGCTTGAGCATGTCCCAAATTGTACATCTCTTCCCTCTCTTATTTCCATTCTTAATATTTAACAGCGATCACTTTTCAGTTAAGTTTCAACACTTAAGAATAACTTTGTATTAATTACAGAATTCAACCAATAGTATTAATTAGAACAAACAAACAAAATACTAAGAGGGATAACGTATTAAGTTGTTCATCAACAGTCAGGGCAAGGGCTGATCAAGTCACCATTTCTCATAGTGTTCATTTCACTTTAACAGGTTTCCTTTTTGGTGCTCAGTTAGTTGTCACCGATCAGGGAGAACATATGATATTTGTCCTTTTGGGACTGGCTTATTTCACTCAGCATAATGTTTTCCAGATTCCTCCATTTTGTTGCAAATGACCAGATTTCATTGTTTTTTACTGCTATATAGTATTCTACAGAGTACATATCC